AAGATACACCATGCCAGGGAGGAGTCGACTTTGGCGTGCAATGATGGTTGATGTGAATGCAGGGAAGACAGCCCGGGAACCTAGCCGGTCAAGGGTCCCTCAGGTGGTCACTAAAAGGGGCAGTTGAGAGGGGACAGCTGAGAGAGATAAGCTGAGAGAGGACAGTTGAGAGAGTTCAGTTGACAGAGGGCAGTTGAGAGAGGACAGTGGAGAGAGGTCAGCTGAGAGAGATTAGTTGAGGGAGGACAGTTGAGAGAGGTCAGTTTAGAGAGGACAGTTGACCGGCTGAGACGATTGAGTTAATCAATGTTATGTTAAAAAACAGGAAAGGTTAAGCAGGTCACGTGAATGTATAGTTAGTGAGGACATAGATATAGTTGATAATTATTGAGGACATAGAGATGGTTGACAATTAGTGAGGCCACGGAGATGGTTGACAATTAGTGAGGACACAGAGATGGTTGACAATTAGTGAGGACACAGAGATGGTTGACAATTAGTGAGGACACAGAGATGGTTGACAATTAGTGAGGACTAAAGAAGAGCTTTTCATAGTAGTAATAAACACATACTATTTATCACGTGGACACCTCAATTATATGTTATTTGGATTAAACACTATTCTATTTTTTGATTTTGTCTGTCTCGGTGTTGTGCTTTTGTCTGTCTCAATAATATGTTTTTGTCTGCCTCAATGTTGTGCTTTTGTCAGTCTCAAAGTTCTGCTTTTGTCTGTCTCAACTTGCGATTTTGTCTGTCTAGCTGTTGTGCTTTAGTATGTCTCAGTGTTGTGCTTTTGTCTGTCTCAGCGTCATGCTTTTGTCTATCTCAACGTTTTGCTTTTAACTGTCTCAGCGTTGGGCTTTTGTCTGTCTCAATGTTGTGCTTTTTGTCTGTCTCAATGTTGTGATTTTGTCGGTCTCGGTGTTGTGCTTTTGTTTGTCTCAATGTTGTGCCTTTGTCTGTCTCAACTTTGTGCTTTCATCTGTTTCGGTGTTGTGGTTTTGTTTGTCTCAACGTTGTGCTTTTTTTCTGTCTTAACGTTGTGCTTTTATCTGTCTCAGCGTTGTGTTTTTGTCTGTCTCAACGTTGTGCTTTTTGTCTGTCTTGACGTTGTGCTTTAGTATGTCTCAGTGTTGTGCTTTTGTCTGTCTAAGCGTCGCGCTTTTGTCTGTCTCAATGGTGTGCTTTTTGTCTGTCTCAATGTTGTGCTTTTGTCTGTCTCATCGTTTTGTTTTTGTCTGTCTCAATGTTGTGCTTTTTGTCTGTCTCAATGTTGTGCTTTTGTCTGCCTTGGTGTTGTGCATAATTATTTTTCTAATATAGTTATGGGCGAATGAAAAGTAAAATCCCCCCCCCCCCACGGTATATCTACATCACAAAACAGTAGGCTTGTATTAAATCAAATGCTCGTATTTTTTCTTTATATTTGGTAACATTGAAATGCGCAACTGTTGTTGTTTTTTTAATCCTATTTTACTTATAGCTCTGTGTCTTGTGTGCAGTCTGGGGGACCTCTGGATTAACAAACAAAAAAAAAAAACTGCTAAGACAAACAGAGTTGAACATCGGATGATGACCAGAGGTGCATCTCGTGTTTCAAGCTTGTCATAATGAGTGACAAGTTTGACATATTTTATGGCATATCGACTGATTATTTCAGTGTGTAGGGGTAGGACAACAAGATTGCATTATATCTCGATATTGCGATATGAATTGCGGTGCCGGTTGGTCACACTGGAATTCTGGAGTGAAGAAACCAGGATGTTTCAAAAATTTAAGTTTTACAGCACATATTTAAAAAAATTATAATAATAATTCAGTACCTAATTTAACTTATTCAAGCAGTCGGCTTACCCCACCCCCCCCCCCCCCCAAAAAAAAAAATAAAAAAAAATCCTCCCCCAAGACTGTAAAACGTTCAAAAGACAGAACCCAACATTTTACAGAGAAGTTGGTACAAAAAATGTATATATAGCTCCAACTCTCTCTGTGAGACATATTATTGACGTGAATAGACATAAATGAAACTCATCTATGTGGCTGGTTGGCAAAGTCTGAAGCAAAATGTAGTCATGGCATTTTTGAAAATTGCAAGCATCTAAACACAGGATTATAAGGATCCAGACCTATGATTATATCTAGACACATGATTATAGGCATCTAGGCATAGGATTATAAGTATATTTACATAGGATTATAAGTCTCTAGAGTCCAGACCAGTAATTATGTCTAGACACATTATTATAAGCATCTAGACACGGGATTATAAGTATCTTTGCATATGATTATAAGTCTCTAGAGTCCAGACCAGTAATTATGTCTAGACACATTATTATCAGCATCTAGACACGGGATTATAAGTATCTTTATATAGGATTATACGTCTCTAGAAATTAATACACTATCTAGAATCTAGAAACATCACTACACTTTAAAAAAAAAAAAGAATGTCATATATAATATATATGACATTCTTTTTTTATATATATATATTATATATACGACCATTTCACACACCCGTCTCTTCTGAACTGTGACCATTTCACACCACACCGTCTCGCCTGAACTGTGACCATTACACACAAGCCTCGCTAGTGTCTTTTCACAGTGGCTCAATTCGTGTTTTATTTGCCTTATCCTACGGCCCATGGTCGAATGAAAACCGTCAGGATTCTACCAAATGTAGCCATGGCCCCCGTTTTGAGGTCGTTATTATATAAATATTAATAATAATTGTAAATATTTTCCGATTTACAAAACCCCAAAATGTCCGTGAAACTTGTCTAAGAATTTTTATTTTTTTTTAAGCTAACAGTATTGTTTGAATTGAATTTTAAGTGTCTTACAGTACGAAATGGCCACACTCCATCGCTTCTTTTTTTTTTTTTTTTTTTTTTTTTTTTTTCCACCATTTAAATCTCAGCCGCAAACCTGTTTCAATATTTACCCGTTTCTTTTTTTAACTCCAAAGACAACCTGAAGATTCGGGAATTCCTGTAAAGAGCTCACAAAGTTAAGTCAATAAAATCTACCCATTGGGGAAAAAAATGGATTTCTGCTTTAACATCTGTATATATTTACTTACTTTATATTATACACAGATGCCTATCTTNTATATATATATATATACATATATATATACATATATACATTACTTATACTATGATATGAAAGAGTCTTACACGGAGTCTTAAATCATAACTTGGGGTTGTAAGCCTTTTAAACGCATATTTCTCTGGTTTGTAAAGACAGTCAGTGGCGTCGGAAGGGTGGCGGGGGGTGGTCTGCCCCGGGTGGTACCTGTTTCGTTATATGGTAGGGTGGCATTTCAGGGGTAACTGTGGAGTTGTTGTTTTTTTTTTATTTGAAAGTGGGGCGTTCAAATTCCGGTCGTCACTAAGCTTGGGCTATGCTCCTACCTTTAACCATCTAGTTGCAATATACCAATGGCTATCTTTTCTTAATTGTTCCTTAAATAAGTACAAAATATTCAATTGTAAAAAAAAAAATGTTGGAAGAAAGCCTAAAATCAAAATCACGCTGGAATGTTATAGTGAAAAGTTTTTTTTCTCCTTGAATAAACTAAGAGAGGCAACTTTGAAATTTAATAATCATTTTTTAAAATTAGTATTTTGGTCTAGTTACTTCCCTTTCAAACTGAGAAGTCATTTAATATTTTCGCACTTTTGTTAAAACACGTAACTTCGCAAAATAACACCATTGTGTGATCTGCTTTTTTGGCATCCTTGTCTAGCGGCAGTCTGCTTTTGTATTCAACTTCAATTTGTCACCCCCTCCCCCACGCAAAAAAATTAATTAAAAATTCAAACGTGTATTTCTCCATTTGATGTCACCTCAGCGTCCACCCTTTATTGATGCTACACTACGTTAGCAACTAAAGGTATGTAGTCTACATTGTAGGTAGCCTACGGCTAGGCTCAATAATAAACACTTCGTGTACAAGGGGTTTGTTTGAAGATATTGACTTATTAGCGTACGTATTCTGCTAGTACTTTGTATTACAGTTAGTACTTTATAATCACAGATAGGCCTATATCATACGCTCGAAATATAGTGTAATATCAATTATGTTATACATTAGCATTAGAGTCATACTGCGTTATTTTGAACCAAATTTTTATCAGGAATCTCCCCTAAACCAATTTTGGGGTTATAAAATTGAGAAAACAAATCAATATAAACTTAATTTTATCTTAATTTTTGGCTATAGGCCTGCTACTCATTTGAAAAGTTCTAACAAGCTTTAAAGCGCACGCGCGCGCGCACGCACACACACACATACACACACATACACACACACACACACGCACATGCACACGCACACATACGATAACGAACAAGTCTTATGAAATTTAATATTTAATTAGTTTTTTTCCTCGCCGATCCCGTGCGTTCCTGCAGAGCACAAGCCTTGGGTAGGCCTAAGTTTATGCAGTGATTATTTCAGAAATTTTCCCCCGAGGGGCAGATTTTTCGGGGGGGGGGGCAGTGCCAGCAGTGCCAGTTGATTTATTGTCGAAAATATTTTTGCTGGGGGGGGGGGGCTTGGTTTTTCCGGGGGAGCGGTCTCCCCCCCCCCCCCCCCCAGATATAGCTGAAAGAAACCCTGACTTTATGTCAAGGCATCTAGGGGTAGAAAAATTGTTAAAATGGCAGAGCCAAATCATTATATGAGTAAAATCCTTTTGAATTTCACTCCGGAGCCACAAACTTAATGAGCACCGACCCCTGTGAAACTGATAGATAATCAAAATCAAAGTTCAAGTTTACTGCAATTATAAGTCATAAATTTGTAGTAGACCTTTTTTTTAAAAAAAAACATGCGAATGACGCATATAATCTTGATCTTTTATAATCTTGAGTTTTTAAAGGCCATTCTAAATTCCATCTTATGTCCCAAACATTATTTATGCTATCAAAGCAAAATGGCGAAAGCATTTGGCCTCATAGCGGTTAATGCGCATGCGTAATAAAAGCGCTTTTCCGATTCGGTTCCATGCGTAAGTTTCATCATTAACAAGTTGCAGATATCGCTACATAATGTCTCGTATTTTTAGTAATATTGGGAAATTAGGTTTGGCTCTCGCTGTTACAGGAGGCGTAGTACAATCTGCACTTTATAATGGTATGAATTTTATTATGTGTTCAACTTTAAAGCAAAATGCATCATGAGTTAATAAGTTTTCAGTCAGTTTGTTGTCAAAATGTTTTTTTAGAGGCAAGGTCACACAAATATTACAAAAAGTAGAGCCTCCTATTCCTATTTTATTTGTTGTTTATAGTAGTGGGTCCTTCCTACATATATTGTTATTATAGTCTACTTTAAGTTAAACCTTGAATATTGCTTGGCTATGCTGTACTGTATGTCGTATTAGGCAGCCGAGGCCAGGCTCTGTAGCTGTAGCCACTGTAGGCCTAGTTAAACTACTAAACCTTAAAACTTAAGACTTTAACTACCTAGTGACTCGTGTGAATTCAGTTATATGCTCTAATCAAAATAATCCAAAACTGTTTGTAGGCCTAGTAATTGTAGCCTGGCTACGTAATAAAAAAAAATATAGCTAGTATAGTAGGCTTGGCCAGTAGTAGTAGTAGTAGCTCTACTGCCACTGGTTACTCAATATGTCAATGACAATGGATATGCCCTAAATGAAATGGGCCTAGGCCTAGGTCTAGGTAGTTAGCAGAATGGGTATTGCCAAGAGTTGTCTCTCCCTAAGCGCAGTAACTTCACTTTCATGATATCTTTCCCTGTTTCTGGGTGTCTTACTTTTAAGTTCTATTTTAAAAAAAAACAACTTAACTTTTAACTAACCGTAACAGTTCAAGGTTTTAAATTTGTTTAACGTTATTGTCTTACTTTAAGAGGACCTAAAACACACACACACCCACACACACACCCCCCCCCCCCCCCCCAATTAGATTAAGTTAAAACATTAAGTTAGTACATTAAAAATTTTAATGTTTTAGTTGACGGAGGACAGAGGGCTGTAATCTTTGATCGACTTCGAGGAGTTCAGGAGGAAGTAGTTGGTGAGGGAACTCACTTTCTTATTCCCTGGGTACAGAGGCCAATCATTTTTGACATTCGTTCCAAGCCCAGGAATGTTCCATCAGTTACAGGCAGCAAAGGTATTTAAATTATTTAGCCTAATTTAATGTAAAATCATATAATGGTTTATGCTCAATATACTTACTGTTTTTTTTTTAATTTGTAGATTGAATTTAAATGATTATTTTTGCAGCCCTTTTAACTGGTTTTTTTTTTTTAATTTAATAAAAATGTACGCATGGATTCATAGCTTTTTTTCTTCTATATTACATTATTAAATAAATAAAATGTACCGTACATAAAATATTAATTTGACTTAGTAATGAATTTTTTAACATTTGTCTTCATTTAAAAACAGATTTACAAAATGTCAACATCACTCTCAGGATTCTGTTCAGACCCCAAGTTCCAGCTCTCCCTAAAATATACACCAATCTCGGCATAGATTATGATGAGAGAGTTTTACCTTCCATCACAACTGAAGTTCTTAAAGCTGTTGTGGTATGCTTACAGATTGCTGTAAACTGATTGTTAATAAATTTTGATTGCAGCGCTTAAATTTTGAATAAACTAATTAGAATTTGGGATAGAGATAGTCAATATAGTTTTGTTGTGTAATGTAGGCATGTGAAGGGTAGGATATATCAGACCTGTTTACTCTTACGATTTTGGCGTACAATGTATGATTTTGAGGTGAATAAATTATATATACTGTATGTTTAATTTTTACAGGGGGTATTGAAGGATTTTGTGATGATATTGTACGGTTTTAAGAGTTTGAGGGTAAACAGGTCTGATATATTGTTTATGGGAGTACTTTTTATTGCTGATAATTAAAATATATGTCACACTGTAAACTTTAAATGAATTTTTCTTAATGAATGGAATTATTTTGAATCTATTTTTTTAAATTTCTGATTTTATATGCTAATGCATTACATTTTAAAAAATGTATCTTTTTGCTAACCACTTACACGTCTTTTAATTTCTCCAGGCCCAGTTTGATGCCAGTGATCTGATTACACAGAGAGAGTTGGTGTCCACCAGAGTTAGTGAAGAGTTGACAGAAAGAGCTTTACAGTTTGGTATCATTTTAGATGATATATCTTTGGTGAGTTGATTTCTAATAAGTGGGATGTTTATTTTTTTTTATTCTTCTTTCCATCCGGTTATCATTTTTAGGAAAACTGATTTATCGCTTTTTACAAAGAATTCCCACCTGTTATATTTTGTTAGATGGTAAGAGTGAGAGAAATCTATTTTTAGCGCACTCTGACGAGTCTGTTCCCTGTTCTGGTTTCGATACCACAGTTTAGTACCAGCACAGCATGTGGTCGTTAAATTCTTTATTACCTTTGACCTGACTGCGACATTGCGGTCTGCACTTGTGCACACTTGTCAATTGATATTGATAACAGACTACATGTATACAAAGAAAAAGGGCGAAATTAGATTTCGTTTTAAATGGCAGCCATCTAATGTATCAATCTTTTTTTGCTCTGAAGTAATACTCCAACCCACTCTTGTTTTTCAAAGTAGCTCACTCAAATATTTATCAATATACAATGTGGATGAAATCATGCCATTTTTTTGACACAAGTACTTAGGATTTTCTTATCTGTTGTCAATGTAGACTTTCTTGATAGTCGTTTAAAAAGAAAATAATCTGTTTATTATCTTCTTAATGTATTTCAGACTCACCTCACATTTGGAAGGGAATTCACAGAAGCAGTTGAAGCCAAGCAGGTTGCACAACAAGAAGCAGAGAGAGCTCGTTACATTGTAGAAAAGGTCATCTTAAGTTCCATTATATCTTGTCCTATGTATTATTACAAAAAAATGTACTTAAAGAATAGTAATTTGGAAATATCTTAACTTAACAATTTGTACTGACATCCTGGATATAAATAAACTAATGCAGTCCATAATATGATTTACATGCGTATATCTCATAGAATCTAATTTCTTATGAATGTGTTGTTGCAATTACTTGTTGAGAAAAGGTTTTTGTCAGAAACAATAGACTAAGAGAAGTAGTGATTTGAAATGGTTTTCTTTTTTACTTTATGTCTTAAAGTTTGAGCTCCAATTTAAATAATGTAGCCAATAACTTTTGAATAACGTATTAAAAAATTAGATTTTAATATATTTTTCCTTTCCAAGAATTTACCCTATTTAAAATCCCTTTTCCACTATATAGTCACTTTGATTTATATGAGTATGGTCATAACTTTGAATTGCTGGAGTACCTATGTACTAGACCTACTGAGCTTAGTAATTCAGCACAGTTGACCATGTTTTACATGTCCTGGCTACAGTTTGTGACATCTTTGATTTTCTGATATTTTAGGGAGAAAAAAAATTTTAAATGTATTCTAAAAGTGTTTACCTGCGATGGAGAAATTTTCTGGAAAGTTTTTTGTTTACTAAGATGTGTCCAGGATCCCGGGAGAGAAATCCTACTAGTGTCTGATGTCTGTTAAACGAACTGGATGACAATTTTTATTGAAATGTAAACCCTTATGCACAATACTATCTCTTTGTTGTATTTTTTTTTTTTTTGACAGGCAGAGCAACAGAAGAAAGCTGCGATCATTTCGGCCGAGGGTGACTCTAAAGCCGCTGAATTATTGGCCCACGCTTTCGGTAAAGCCGGAGAAGGTCTGGTTGAGCTGAGAAAGATTGAAGCGGCCGAGGACATTGCCTTCCAGCTCTCTAAATCTAGAAATGTTGTGTATCTACCCCAGGGCCAGCAGACTCTGCTGTCCTTGCCGCCCCAGTAATTTTGACATTAACCCAATGTTTTTAAGGATTATTATTTTGTGATTTGAATTTTTTTATAACAGAAATAAATGTGTATGCTTAACAATGTATGGTTCACTTTTAAATTTGGGAATCAGTGCCACCAGAGCCTTTTATAGCATCTCCGACAGATTGAGGGTAAATGTCATTCATGATACAACACTCCTTTTCTGACTGACCGGATCGTTCTTTATTATCAACTTTTGATTGTTGGCCAGGCAGTGGATAAATAGCTCCGTTGGTTTATTTAAAACTGCAAAAATAAATTATGATTGATCTAGGAAACATTTTCAGTGTATTAAACATTGTGATATTTTTTCCTCATTTTGCTGTGAGAAAGTTGTTTCAGAATAAAGTATAAAGGTTCAGTAATGCTGTCTACTTACTTATGATTATGATATTATTTACAAATAGTGATCGTTCAAAAATCAGAAGAAAGACCCCTGTAAATAATTTTAGCTGATCTGATAGTGATAGATTATGAGAAATATTTTTTTTTAAATTTCTCCATCCGCTTCTCATTTAATTGTGCTCCCTTTATACTTTAGAATGGAACATGTTATGATCCGTCTTGTATGTTTACTGATCAGGAATGACTCCAAAGAAAACGGGTGAATTGTGGATATCTTAAACTAACAAAACCTTCTCAACTCGGTGAACTGTTTAGAACTATTTATTCCAAGCAATCAGTATCAGATGACCAATAGTTGTTGCATAAAGAATACTGATCAAATGGAATTGAACACCTTACATTTGCAGAGTGACATAAACGGTAATAGTAAAAACAACACCTTATAATCCACTTGAAACTTGTACGGTATCGGTAGTAAAATGTTACCATGGTTACCATTGGCAGAAGCAATCGGTAGCACAACAATGAAACGACTGAAGAACAAAATTGAGCGTTATCTGTCGAACTGCTGTGGTACCGTAGTATTGTTTTTGATGCCGCCAGTGTCTAACATTCTGTGTGTGACTGACTCTCTTTCTTTTTTTTCTCTCCCTGTTAGATGAGAGACTAGTAGTAGTAGTACCCGTAGCTGAGCTAGACTAATTTATCTATTCATTGATATTGATGGAGGCAGCACATTCTCTAAGAAAGTTGGATGAAAACAAGGTTATTTTTGGGGGGAGAGGGGGTGCGTAGAGTTTCATCTATTTTCAGAGAAATGCACTTCTTTGAGTTTAGCAAAGGCAAGAGCAGAATCGTTAGTTTCACTGAAAATGAACTCGTGACATTAGCAGAGATATAACACAGTACAACTCAAAGTTGATTGAAATAAATTATAAGGAAAAAAATTAATTGGCTATCAGCCCTGTTGCACTGTTGTGAACAATTTGTGCAGGTGGGTCTGTCCCACTGTCAAGTTTATAGAATACGTCATAGCTCAGCTGTGTAGCCTGACACAGTAACTTATAGTTAAAGTAACTTAGGGTTATACTCTGCACTTACAACATACAGTTTAAATTCAGTTGTACCATATTACATAAAACATTGACCAATTATCTCATTGTAAGGGGTCGTTTGTAAATTACGTCATGCTAAAAATTACCTTTTTAGACACCCCTCCCCCCCCCCCCCCCCCCCCCCCCCCCCCCCCCCCCCCCCC